CAAGTCCTGTGCAAAAACGCATGATCGCACGGGCCCGTCCGGTGCGTTCCAGCCTGGGTTTTTTTTCATATACACATTTTAAATATGAAGTACTATCGGAGTCAATTTAGGCATTATCATGGCAAGCAAAGCATTTTGCTCGTATCTGGAAAGGACGCGTATTCATGCATCTGAATCCACGTTGGCAGAAGGAATGCTTCGAAGCGATTGTGCAGGAGCTGGTTAGTAAGCAATACATCCTCAAATTGTCTTTTACCTTTGATTTTTTTGACTAGTGCTTAATTCCGTTTACTGTTGTTTGAATATGATATGCTCAACAATTAAGCTAAGCAATAATATCAGTGTAATAGTAATATTAATAGTAATGATCATAACTTAGCTATAATCAACTAGGAAAGTATTTTGCATTGGATTAGGGGAGCTATACTTATTAGGAAAATACTTGAATGAGTACCATAGTGGCGAAATATTTTGTAAATATTGAAGATATTCTCAATTTTTACCGAAAACCAAAACCTTAACACTCTGGGACTGACTGTATCTTGATGATTCTTTGCAAATCCCAGCTTTTTAAAAAGCGACATTCAGGATGAGGAATCGTTGATCGATTTATTGCTTGGCTGCCAGAGGCTTCAGGTTAGTATATGTTGTATTTCTCGGTACAGTCAGACTTACGTAAAGTGGACTAGTCCGATTGCTAAGCTGCATCGAGGCACTTTTGATACTGCTTTGAAGTCGCCGATCGCTTCTCCCTTAGGAATTTAATCGCTTCCTACTTCTATTCGATCCAAAACTCCGTTTTTTATGCGTTTTTGCTTATATGCAAACGTAGAAACGCATATTGTGATGACCCCGGATTATGTATGTATGTATGTGTGGTATGTGTGTGCATCTGTCCGGATATTTCTACTCGGCATCCAAGCAAGCTCCAGCGCCAATTTTGCAGGTGGGCTCTTCGGCCAAATGCCATCCTAGGACCACGGTACCAATTATCACGCAGGTCTGGCCTCGCGTACGAGAGGGTGGAATTTTTGGCGAGAAAATGGCTAACTCAGGAGCCAGAAAAGCTGAAAAGCTGAAAAAGGGAGGCTGAAATTTTCAGAGAATGTTCTTAGCATATGCACAGCTTAAATTCATCAAATTCATCTCCTGTTTTGCGTGCGTGACTTTCACGTGCGACCCCATGAAATTTTTGGCGCGAAAGCGGCTAACTCGCGAACCAGGAAAAGTGGAAGGCTGAAATTTTCAGGGAACGTTCCCAGCACATGTACAACTTAAATTTAACAAATCCAGCCGTCAGACGCCCGTGTTTATCAAGTACGGCGCCACGAAAATTTTTGGTGCGAAAATGGTTAACTCAGGAACTGGGAAAGCTGGGAGGTTGAAATTTTTAGGCAATATTCTCAGCACAAGATCAACTTAAAATTATGAAACTTAGCCCCCCAGCATGCGTAACGCATGGTTGTCACGTACAGACTTCGAGGACCAGTATCACACATTTCTAGCTACTGAGTTTCCGAGCAATCTCATTACAGCACGAAATTTTGCAAAAACGCATAATCGCACGGCCCGCCCGGTGCGCGTCGCTAATGATTATTTTCCTTCGTTACTAAGGTTGTCGATGAAAGTGTGCATGGGTAAATAAAAAAACACTTTGAGCAATCGTATAAAACTGTTGGAAACTTAGACAAAACGAGTAGTTTATTGTTTAGATCGAACTGGCTATAATGCGGGATACTGATTTAGTTGGATAAAACGGAACAGGAAAGCTAAGGAACTGCTAAATAGCACATTTATTTTGTAAATCTGGGTGAGGGACCAGACAGAATTTAACAGGATGAAGTGTTGCTGCCGCGTAAAATAGCATATCATTTTCTTCCAGAATAAGAACCATCCGTAGTACTAGGTGGACAA